ATGCCCACTATAGAGAGCTGGATCACTGTTATCAAAGGTAGGAAAGCATTGCAAAATGCCCACTATAGACCAGGCTTTTGAGTCCATGAGCAGTGTGGCTATGTTTTTGTCCCCCTCCCCCTTTTTTATTGCAGTTTTAATGGATACCTGAAGAGATATTTACATATGCTTTAAGTAATATAGAACTTGGCATGTCTCACGCATACAAAGATTGGAATTAATATAGATTTAAAAAAACTACTAGACAATTTCACTATGTGACACCCTCAGTATACATGTTTATCTATTTGCAAATATCAAATAGATAGTGTGACTTTTTTAAATCCAGGATCAAATGAGAAATTCCATGGACTCATGTATGTGCAAAGAAATAAAACTGTTCACAAGTCGGTTCTGACTGGGCAAAATTCTTGTCATGTGCATACCTTTCAGTACTAGTAGTCCTATTGACTTAAATGTTACTAAATTGCTTAAAGTTACACAAATATTTGAATGCCTCACTCGATGGGTGCCATTTCTATGCTATGCATATTCACTTATGCTTATAAGAAAATAATTACAATGTATATTTCAAACCCCCCAACAGTCCCATACTGTGTGTGTGTTTTTATTACTAGAAGACTTACTCAGTGTTGCATGGGTCCTTCAGGACAGGGGCTGGTGGTGGGCGGATACAAGAGTGAGACAAAGACCTGGGAGGAGTCCCATCTGGCTGGTAAGAACTTTTTCTCTTCCCCCCAGCCTTCCTGGCTGCCAGGAGCCTTCTGTTCCCCACAGCCCTTCTAGCCACCAGCGCCTTCTGTCTCTCCCCAGCTCCCTTGGAAGCCAGGGGCCTTCTGTCTCCTCTCAGGCCTCCTGGCCACCAGGAGCCTTCTATCTCCCAAGACCACTAGGGGTCTTTTCTCTGTCCCCCTTTCCAGTGCTGTAACCATAGGGAGAGGGAATGGTTTGGAGTTGAGGAGTGGGTACTTACTTGGTCAGGTGGCCACTCTCTTAGTAGTGTGACTGCCCCCAGTGGCTACTTAGTATCATGTCCCTCCTCTCCCTTTCACGTCCCTCCTTGTTCTTTCCTCTTCCTTTCCATGTTATGGAATACAGTCCCTTTCCCTGAACTTTACATTTTCCTGGCACAACCAAACCCTGACCATGCTTTAAGTTCAGATAAGAGGAAGTTGCCTACCAAATGTGATGGTCCTAACTCTTACCATTTAAGAGGAGTGAGTTCTTGAACAAATAGGCTCTGAGAGACATATCTATAATAGATAATATAGATAGGGAGGTATCTATCTAAGGGCCCAGTTTCACCTCAACAAGGTAAAACTTACGTAGACGCCAAGAAACTCCATAAAGTTCCCAGGTTTCCTCTGTTTTTTCATTAGAGCAGGGTGTGCTCCTTCCTACACTGCTGTGGGAATAAAGCAACTGTCTGACCCTCTAATCCCACACATGTTGGGAATCTACCAGGGAAACAGGGTTATTCAATTCAGATTCCATGAGCCCCTTCATCAAACTTACATTTCCAGCTGACTCCACTATTACCTGATATAGAGACATCATTGGCAATCTTCTAGCAGGCCACCTGATGTCTCTCTCCTTGATTTCCTTTATTAGGGTGCTCTCAAACATAAGGGTAGAAGAGGTGAACATGAAAAGTAATACAATAACAGCTTGATTGAAGACTCTATGGTGAGTGGAGATCTAGTGGAATTATAACACCATGATCTTCAAAAGAAATAAAAGATGAACCTGTGGGTATGTCTACACAGCAGTGTTATTTCAGAATAACTGAAGTTATTCTGAAATAACATAGTCTGTGTCTATACTACAAGCAGTTATTTTGAGTCGATCTGAAGGACTTCTTACTCCAACTCCTGTAACCCTAATTTTATGGGGAATAAGGGAAGTCAGAGGAAGAGTGCTCTACCTTGAACTTTCTGCTATGTAGACAGTGCTAAAAGCTGAGTTTAGCTATTTTTACGTGGGCTATGCAATTGACGTAGCTGAAGTTGCGTAGCTTATTTCAACTGTTGCCCTGCTGCACACAGAGTTTGTCTACACTGAAACTGTTTACACTAATGCAGTAGCTCTTCTACCCATCTTCCAGCACTGCTGTTTCTGTAGAGCTGAACTCTTGAGCACCAGAATAGTATTTTAACTTGCTTTATTGCAAATTAGAATATGTTTTGATTACGATAATGTGGCCTTTGGCTTTTGGCAATATTTATTATACATTCATCACATTAGTGTTCCCCATCTCCTGGCCAGAATGGGACTTTTCATACCATTTGCCATGATAAATCTCTGGCCTGAATTATCTTGAATACATTTGTTTCATAGTTCATATCCAGCTGGCACAAACATCACACCCAATATGTAACTTTGTTATTCCCTCCCCTGTCAGAAATTCCAACTACAAGTCTCATTAGTCAAAGAGAAATCTTTAACAATCACACTAGAAAAATAAAAATAAGGATATGAAACAATAGTGCTCCAATATGAGTAACACTGACTGAGTAGCTGGAATCAGATTAATTAAGTACTGTATTACAAATAGGAAAAGGCTGTACAGAGATAAAATACACACAATGTATTTACTGATACCAAAAATTAAATCAAGCTTTATCGCTTTTAGTCTAGTTTGATGTTACCAGACACCTCCATTCTACTCATGTACTTGCAACTGCTGGTTGGGCCAAGAGGCCAGGGACTTGGAGCTTGGAGTTATTGGGTTACTGGCAACAAATCTGACACATATTCTTGGTGTAATACAGTTAGGGATGATAGAACCATTCTTGCATGTCAGTAGCTATAATCCAATAAGCAGAAGCATGGGAAAGCACGAGAGTGATTTTATAGTATCAGGCCTTTTCAAATTCACAGTGGTCATACAGCTGGTGGAGAGGCCCATCCGGCAACCTATTTACAGGAACAGCAATAATGGAAAATGGCTGTTTTTAGCCAATACATATATGTTAAGCACAGGGCACTCTAATAATATTCTATTATTTTCAACATGTGATAAATTAGATTATCCAAATGGTGTGTTTCCCACAATTCTGTCCACTTTCTCTTTTATGTTGAAAGTGGTACATTCCACAATACTCTACAAAGCTCAATGTACCTTTTGGCATTAACAAATATAAAACCTGTCCAAGGAAATGTATATTTGTTCTATACTCTAATACGGATATCTTCGCAGTGTTATCAGAGAGCATACTCTCATAGAAAGCTGGTGATTAGATAAGCAGATTTTTGACCGCTATTAGGATCTATCAAGTATGAGGATTAGAAAACTGTGTACCTCCTTGCCATGATGCATTGAAATAAAGGAGGGAGAGAATAAAAGGTTCAAGCAGAAAGATTTATTAAGGCAAAGTTACAACTATGGGAATGTTCTCTGGGGATAACAACAGCAAACAATTAAATAGATTCCAGGTGGGTATGAACCCCAAACTTCATAAACTTGTTCCCTTGGTCAAACCAAAAAGTAAGCTGTCACGTTACTGGATTTTGAGGGGAGCAGCCAGATCAGTGCTGCACCCATGGGAGGGGGGGAGTGTTGGCCCCAAAAGTGCTAAAAAGGGGACCATGTGAGGTGTCAAATAGAAGCTTACTTTCTTCTGATTCCACATATGCTATTCATGTAATTGTATAATGTCTGTGTGTGAAGTTATAAGCATGTACTTTGTGTGGATACCAAATGTTTCTCTGTATGTGGTTGAACTATGGGCGAAGCAGCTCAGCGTATGGACATGTTAATGAGCAAGTCTCTATGGAACAATAGCCCTCTATAGGCCAAGGACACACCACGGCTGTGTCTAGACTGGCATGAATTTCCGGAAATGCTTAAAACAGAATAGTTTTCGTTATAAGTATTTCCAGAAAAAGAGCGTCTACATTGGCAGGATGCTTTTCTGGAAAAGCCCTTTTTCCGGAAAAGCATCTGTGGCCAATGTAGACGCGCTTTTCCGGAAAAGAGCCCCGATCGTCATTTTCGCGATCAGGGCTTTTTTCCGCAAAAGACTACTGGGCTGTCTACACTGGCCCTTTTCCGGAACAGTTTTCCAGAATAAGGACTTATGCCCGAGCGGGAGCAGCGTAGCTTTTCCGGAATAGCGGCTGATTTTGTACAGTAGAGCGTTGTTGCTTTTCCAGAAATTGAAGGGCCAGTGTAGACAGCTCGCAGCTTATTCCGGAAAAGCAGCTGATTTTCCAGAATAAGTGGCCCAGTGTAGACACAGCCCACAAGAATGGTGACTGATACCTAGGGGCTAGGCCACAGGCCAGGTGACCTGCTGCAGCCAAGAAGAGACCAGGAAGGAGGTATAAAGATGCCATGTGGCATCCTCCATCTTGTCTTCAGATCTGCTCCTGACCCCAGATGTGGCCTCGTAGGGAATCATGAGCCGGAAAGAACTGTGGACCCATCCTAACATAGGATGTACACCAAGGACTTTTAAGCCAGCAGTTATAACATCTCTGCTGCGAGCCTATATTGAGAACTGGGAGATTCGATGCATGTAATGTATGATGCCTTAACAACCTTACTCTCATGCTTTTTGTTCTTGTAGTAATAAACCTTTAGATGTTAGATTCTAAAGGATTGGCTCTGCGTGATCTTGTGGGTAAGGTCCAGAGGGTAAATTGACCTGGGATTTGTGGCTAGTTTCTTGAAACTGGACAGAATTTGTTCGGGGAACGTGAGATTGGGCTCTAAAACCCCTCACCTGTGTATGAGGCCCACAGCCATCTGGGGCATGGATATTGCTGGGGTGCCAAAGGGGTTTTGCCCTTGAGGCTTCTGGCTGGCCAAGCAGGCAGCTGAAGCGCTCTGTGGGACTGGTTTGTGGCCTGTTTGGGAGGGTCTCCAGTCTGGAGGCTATAGAGAGCCCCAAATTTGAGCAATTTGCTCTGAGCAGATGCCCTCAGCTGTGCCCAGACCCGGCCCAGTCCGTCACATGAGCATAAAAATGCCTAAATTGAATTACTGTCTCTCACAGCAGGTGGAGATCACCAACGGACAATGGACCATCTCAGGAGCATCATTGGATCTGGTTCTACATTGCCGAAGCAGGAGATCAACAGATATGGTCTGGTGGCAAAGTCCTTGTCTTGATTCCTTGGATGGTACTCAGGAACAAGAAACCAGGTAAGCACTAGATAATTTAGACAGGTGGTATGGTCAAATACCTAATACAAGAATGGGCACTAAGTAAGTGTTCTGTGGGCCATGCATGGTTCACCAGGATTAGCCCTGGTGGGTCACCTAATGCTTTATTTACTTGCATATCTGTAGGTATGGCCTCTCACAGTTCCTGTGGACTGTAGTTCACCTTTCCCGGCCACTGGGAAAGCATTGTGGGTTGGTCTACCACTTCCCACAGCTCCTATTGGCTGGGAACAGTGAACCACAGCCCCTGGAAGCTGTGAGAGGCTGTACCTGTGGACGCACAGGTAAATAAAGTGTCTAGTACCCTACCAGGGGCTAACCCTGGTGAACCGTGTCCAGCTACTTCTTGCCCGCAGCCACCAGATCTAATGTCAGATCCTGGTCTGGTGCCTATACAGAGAAATTGAACGTGGCTGCCTCGATGGTGGACGGCAACTATGTCACTGCCTGCAGTTTTGTAGTTGCATTCTGTGGCAGAAAACTCCAGTTCTTGCCTGCCGCCACCAGATCTAATGTCAGATCCTTGTCTGGTGCCTATACAGAGAAATTGGACGTGGCTGCCTTGATGGTGGACGGCAACTATTGTCACTGCCTGCAGTTCTGTAGTTGCATTCTGTGGCAGAAAACTCCTGAGATAACTCTGCCCTCAACTGGTTCCAGCCAGCTCAGAACTGCTTAGAATTTTGGCTGGAAACAGATCTTAGGCGGGAAAGTTTGTGGCAAAAGGTTACCAAGATGGAGTCCAAACCCTTTCTGTCACATGCACCATCTTGAATCCTTAGACTCCATATTGCATTATAACAGCTCCTTATAACAAACATTCAACAAAGGCAAAAGCACATACCACACACACCACTAAGGATGGAAGCTGTGACTAAAACATCTTACACCCGTCAGCTGGCTTGAAATGTAGTGTCCTAAACAGAGATAAAGAAAGATACAGAATAATATAAAGAAAAAGTAAGAACTAGTCAGTTGGAGCTTAAGTGATGAATGCCGTGCTTTCTAAATTGTAAGCAACCATGCTGTAAGTGATTTGGGCAATGTATCTTCCAAGAAAAGCTTCTGTGTAAAGTGAACATGTTGCAAGACAGGAATTACTTCCCGAAAAAGGGTATGTTTGTACTATACTACTTTGTCTTGGACAATAAAATTGGCTACAATTGGTTATTTGGACTCTTACACATGTTTTATGACGCACCACAAGCACAGTCAATCGATTGGCTATGCTTTTAGCAACGCTGTCAATGAATGAATAAATGATCTTTTAAATAAAAGAGAAAATAATGTTTCTCTCCTAAGCCTTTCTTATCTGTTGTATTGACTCAGTGGCAGCACAGGGTACTCAGCATCTCATAAGCCTGGGCACATCACCACTAGCACAGGCTCAACTGTCTCTTTTTAGCAGTATCAGGAGGTGTGGAAATTTCCTATTAGGTTTCTTCTCTTTTGCAGAATAAAAGGCTTCCACCATAAAGATGAAGCTTAGTTTTAGCAACACTGTTTATAATCACATCATAGATTGTGGGCCAGATCCTGCCTTCTTTCCTCACTCAGACTCTTGCTAATACCAAGTGGTGGTTTTGAGCACATCAATAATGTAGCCTAGTTCCCAAATGTATATTTGATATCCTACAGCAGGGATTGGAAACCTTTTTTGGGTCAGGAGCCATTGACCGACAGAAAAATCAGTCAGGCGAAAAGCAAAAAAACAAAACAAAAAACACCCTCATTGACTGACTGACCGTCAAACAGAAAGAAACTCTCCACATTCCTCTCCCACACCAGAGCCTATGGGACCCAGTCTAGTAGATTTTGTGTGCTCCAGCCCTGTGGTGGGCAGCAAGGGGGCTGGAGTGCCAGCATGGGCCCTCTAGTGCTGGGGGGAGGGGTCATGAGCCTCAGAGGCTAGATCCTAGGCAAGCCGGGATCCACATCCAGCCCCCAGGTTCCCCACCCCTACCCCACCGTATTACAGGACCAGCTCACACCCTGTGTGTGTTTTTTCCCCAGTAGTTGGGGTGAAAAAAGGAGAAACATGCTCATGTGTGCTCTGATTCAGTGAAGCACAAAAGCTCATATTTAATGTCAACTTAAATTCCACTGACTTCAAGCATCTGCTTAAATACTTGGCTGATTCAGGGTCTTGGGCCAAATTCTGTTATTGGAAGGAGGGTCCTGGATAAAAAGTTCACCTCCCACCTTCAGTACCACAGCAGCTCACAGGTATGGTATTAAAGCAGATCTCCACAGCTTGTAAGCAGAAGCAAGGCTGAGCAGGGAAAGGGAATGACTGGGAAGAGATATGCTGATTTTTGTACTTGCAAAGATTTCCCCACCTCAGAGTATGCTGTTATCTAATCTCAATGAGGGCCCTCAACTGCAAAGACTCAGTGTGTTTTTAGTGGGTGGGGGATGGAGAAAGTAGGATTTGGGGGGGGCCTGGGCCACTGAGCTCAGTTTTGTCAGGGCTCTGTGTGCCCAGCTGCTGGGGGAGCTAAAGGGTGAGCGGGAAGACTAGAGAGTGGATCTATGATAGTGCTGATTCACTGATCATGTACATCTGCTGCATAAGGGGCTTGTGATGGGGTTTACACACATCCTCAGCTGGAAGGGTTAATATGCTGCCGTGTGACCGCAATCAAGCCTGCAAGCTACTCCTGGAGTGAGCGGCAGGCTAAAAGCAAGGCTCTAAAGAGGAAGATCTCTCTCAGTGGAGAGCTGCTTGATGAAACATAAAGATTATTAGTCTGTATGTGGTGACAGAAGGTGGGTTGGAGCTTTAGCATTGTTTATGACTGATTCTCTCTGGCAGATAAGGTGGGTCTCAACATAGAACTACTTGAAATAAACTGGGTGCCTACTGAAGATTCTTACCCCACTTCTAGGGCTTGAGGTACCTCACTGAAGGATCAGGAGGATGACAGAGTGGATGGACAAATAACCATAAAGGAGCTAGGAACTAAGTCCAGCTGTGTGAAATAATTCTTCCTTCTTTTGTTTTGTTTGGGCTGTGACTTTGCACTTTGCTACCATGGAAGGGGATTAAACTTTTGTGGTGATCCAGCTGGAAGGGGCGTAGTAGGAGTGGTGTTTTGCTTATAGGGCTATAAAAGAACAACTTGAGCTTTAGATGATTGTGGTAAAAGCTATGGAGTGGCTTTGCTATTATGTGAGCTGGTAGGGTAGGGAGGAGGGGGAAGGAGTACTTCTAGCCCTGTGGGATTATTTACATCAAGCACAGCTACTTCAGCTTGTTATGTAGGGTGACACTTTGCCTGGAGGGTGGTCATGTAATGAAAGACCAGCTGATGTAGTGTATAGTTGGGACAGAACATAAATTGTTGTAGGAAGCATAAATCTGAAGTCTGTTGTTTTGGTGCAAATGTCATTTTTAATATCTATATTATTTCCAGAGGTCCTATGGATACTTCCCTTTACTTAAACAAGTTCCTAGTTAAGTAAACATGCAAAAGTCTAACTAAAGAGACAACTGTAGAGAGAATAATGGAAAGTACACCTTAATACAATTCTACCAGACCAGTGATGATTATCAACTGTTATATATTTTTGTTCATTCTGGTGTCCAACTAGCTTATTCTTTTATTATTATTATTATTATTATTTATTATTAATAATAATAATCTTACTAGTGGTACACTACAGAATGCAAGATTACACCCACACATGAAAACAGTTCTGGTAGTGGAACAGAAATTCTGTCAACTGAGTTTTACTATTGACTCCAGTGGGTGTAAGATTAGGACCAAAGTACAGTTTGGAAAGGCTATTGTATATAACGTTTTAATGCCTGATGTAGGAGACAAGAAGCTAACCCTGAATTAAATTTTTCCTCATGTGAATGTACCACTCCCACAGAAGCCAGTGGGAATTATGTATAAATCTTAGTGGGGGAGAATAGAATTTACCCACAAGAGGGTAAATATCAAGTGACGCAAGCCTGATAATGTGCTTGGTTGTTTGAATGGATACCAATTATCATCAATGCAGTGGCTTTTTAAAAGAGATAAGAGTCTGCTTTATCTATGGGGAGACCAACTCTATGACTACTGTAAATAGACTGCAACCAAATAAGTTTAAATTATAAAATCACTAACAATAATTGATATAAGGAAAATAAGATTGCAGCATCAAGCACACAGCAGAATATGCATATAAGGACTCTGCTAACCAGGCCCAACCCTTTGTGGTTTTAAAGTGAGATGATATGATATCCAAGGTCTGATTTGGCTCCTCCTTCTGTGAGGAAGCATGTCAGAGCAAACTACTGGGTTACATCTACACTGGCATGATTTTGCGCAAGAAGTCTTTTGTGGAAGAGTTCTTGTGCAAAAACTCTTCCAGAAGAGTGTCTACACTGGCATGTGCCTTTACGCAAGAGATGTGCTTTTGCACAAGAGCATCCTTGCCAGAGTAGACGTTCTCTTGCTCAAGAAAGCTCTGATGGGCATTTTAACCATAGGGCTTTCTTGTGCAATAAATTCATGTTGCCAGTCTACACTGGCCTCTTGCTCAAGAACAGTTGTGCAAGAGGGCTTATTCCTGAGCGGGAGCATCCTAGTTCTTGCATAAGAAGCGCTGATTTCATACATTAGAACATCAGTGTTCTTGCTCAAAAACTTGTAGACAGGCAGCAAGTTTTTGCGCAAAAGCAGCCGCTTTTGTGCAAGATCACACCAATGTAGACACAGCCCTGCTGCTGTCTGAGTGAACTCTTTTTTGTAGATGTTGGGCATCTTAGGTTCCACTCCTCTGATGAAGACTAGAAAAAAGTGTTTTCTTTTCCCCCTTTTTTATCTGGAAAGATCCACTTTTGATGGGCTCCTCATTTCTCTGTCATGTAGCGATCGATGAGGAGGTCTGTCTTAGAGTATTTTTTTCAGGCTCTCCCTATTGTCAGTCATCCAGAGTCCCTTGGAGATGCATCATTCCCAAGGTATTTGGGAGCT